CCCTCCTTCCCGGGAGGCCCTGTACGCCTGGTTTTCCTCCTCTTTTTTTGTTTCTTTACCGCAGGTGGCGTGCCTGACGAATTGAGCTGCGCCACTAGATCTGCTGTGAGGTATCATAAGCGGGCGGCCCTAGGTATTGCACACTCATTTTATCCTGCTCATCACGTTTCTGGATTCGAACTTGGGTCTGTAAGCCTCGGTCCTGCACCCCATCACTGCTACCGGATTTGCGGTCACAATACGGGCTGCGGGCCCGCGTCCTTGCGGTATGTCAGTGAGAATGAACTTCCTTTTAGAACATGGCCAGATGCACCCGCCAATTTTTTGTCTTTTTCACAGGCCCTTAGGGCATACTCACACTTCCGTCTTCCCCCGAACACAACGCACCCTTGTTTTGGCTGTGAACACAACGCACCCTTATTTTGGCTGTGCCTGGCCGGAAATATAGCTTGTATGCATTCATTCATTCATTTTTAGGGTGGGAAGACGGTGGCAGTTTTTCCGGAATACAGATGTCACCGTGATTACGGCGACGCCAGGATGACTCGATACCGCAGGGACGTCCAGATCTCCGTAGGAAAAGCGCTCCTGCGAGTATGCCCTTCCAGTCTCACCCTCCGGTCTGGGGCCAAGTCCCACTAGCTGCGTTGAGCTACCGCAACGCCGGAATCTGGACGCTTTTGCGGAGATGTGCAGAAATGGGGTTGAGTTTCCTGAACTGCACGTCTCCACAAACACGTCCAGCTTCACGCGTTGAGGTAGCTCAACGCTGCTAGTGGGACTTGACCCCTGATTGCGGTCATTGCGTCTCGGCGACTCGCTCTCCTCACTCTCTTCAAAACGACAGTGATACTTCTGTAGTTGTAACGAGGGGCATAATCACCGTAGGATGTTCTTAGCTGCACGTGGCCGTGTATTCGCGCTAAGTTCAGTCGAGAAAAAAGCTCCAAGTGTGAGTATATCACCTCAAAGCCATCTCTTCTTCCTCGTCATCGCATCGGTCGTTTGCCCATTGCCCATCATCTTTCTCCTCTTCATCGCATCGGTGGTTTGTACATCGCTCAACTACTGACCACATGCACTAAAGACAAAAGATATGGCGGTGTATCTTCCCATGTTCTAGCAGAAGATTCATTCTCATTTTGCACATTTGGTGAGTCGTGGAGCAAGACCCTTCACATCGTTGCCTGCCCTTCGCCTCTTCGCGTTTATCCTCTCTCTCTCTCTCTCTATGTATATATACATACTTGTGATGGGGTGTGAGCCGACAGTCTGTAGAGTTTTCCATCTGGTGTGGGTGAGTGATAGTCTGCTTTGACTTTTGTCACAGGTACCTTGAGGGCAATGGTTGGTGGTCCCCACCACCTCAGGGTATCAGTTGTCGCGCAGTCGTTGATGCTTAACCACAGCCGGGGTTAAGGTGGATTATCACTTACAGTGTAATCAGTTAGGTAGGGGATTCTGCAGACTGTTTTTGAGGGTTCAGCCTCCTCCTGATGACTTGGTGAAACTCCGACGGAACAGTTTGTCACAGCCCCTCGTTTGCTGTCCTCTTCTCCTTCTCCCTCCCTCTCTGCCTACGCTTTACCGGGCAGCTCTGTTTGACTGTGTATATATACATATATGCCTCCTGATGAGTCGGTGAAACTCCGACGAAACAGTTTGCCACAGCCCCTCGTTTGTTGTCCTCTTCTCTCTCTCTGCCTACGGTTTACCGGGCAGTTCTGTTTGTGACGATATATATATAAGATATATATGTATATATACATCTGGTGTGGGTGAGTGATAGTCTACTTTGATTTTGGTTAAGGTAGATTATCATTTACAGTGTAATCAGTGAGGGGATTCTGCAGACTGTTGAGGGTTCAGCCTCCTGATGAGTCGCTCCTGATGAGTCGGTGAAACTCCGACGAAACAGTTTGTCACAGCCCCTCGTTTGTTGTCCTCTTCTCTCTCTCTGCCTACGGTTTACCGGGCAGTTCTATTTGTGACGATATATATAAGATATTTTATTTCTTCTTTTTTTCGCATTTGCGCTCTGATAAATTTGTGACGATATATACGTAGATATTTATATATCATTAAAAAAATATATATATATTTTTCTATTCTGGATATGATATATTTATTCTTGCAATTGCGGTTGGCGGCATTTTCGACTTCTAGGCGTGACCGTAAAAGCGGTTAGATTCATCCAGGAAAGTCCTCCTGTCTGAGCGGCTTTTTGGACGTGATTGCGGTTACGTGCATCCTCACTTGACCGTAAAAGCGGTTAGATTCCTCAAGGGAAGTCTTCGTGTGAGTAATTGCCTTACTGTCACAGTCGCTCCACGTTCTTTTAATTTTTTTTCCCCTTCCACTCCCTTTCTTTTTTTTTTTCTCTCCATACGCTTACTGCTTACATTGCTGCCATATCAGCATGAGCGCTTTTGCACCGGGTTAGCATTAGCTCTTTGATGCCACGTCAGCATTAGGTTTTTGCTGCCACGTCAGCATGAGCTTTGATGTACCCATTAATCAATCAGTCAATCGTTAGTCCAATCAATCAATCAATCAGTCAATCGTTAGTCCAATCAATCAATCAATCAGTCAATCGTTAGTCCAATCAATCAATCAATCAGTCAATCGTTAGTTGATTTGAAACTAACATTTGGTTGATTGATTGATTTGAACTAACCTTTGATTAATTGATTGATTGGTTGATTGATTGATTGATTGCATTCATTGATTAATTAATTTCGGGTAGATGGGAGATAAAGCGGTGGATGAAAATGATGAACGGATGGATGCATGTTCGAGGACAACTCCATTTCTCTTCCTCCCTCTTAACTCTCTCTCCCCCTTCCTCCCTCTTACTCTCTCTCCCCCTTCCTCCCTCTTACTCTCTCTCCCCCTTCCTCCCTCTCGCTCCGCGCCTTCAACGCTCTCCCTCCCTCCCGAGTTCGTTTCCCCCTTCCGCCCTCTCGCTCCGCGCCTTCAACGCCCTCCCTCCCTCTCTCTAGGTCCCAATTGGGTGAGTTGGATGCTTTAAGCTACATTGCGCATTGGGCAATGGGAGTGACGTTGGCTAGGATTTGATTGAAAAGCCCATCGGAATTGGTTGTGAGTCGGCGCACCATAAAAATAGGGATAAAAAGCTATTTTATCTGTCGACGAGTTTATGCCCAATGGTTCATCGTCTGCCTCCTTCATATATCGACACCTTTTTCCTTTTCCCCTCAGTCACGCTTCTCTCTCCCACTCCTCTCTCTCCCTCTCTCTCCCTCTCTCTCCCTCTCTCTCCCTCTCTCTCCCTCTCTCTTCTCTCTCCCACTCTCTCTTCTCTCTCTCCCACTCTCTCTTCTCTCTCTCCCACTCTCTCTCCCTCTCTCTCTCTCTCTCTCTTTCTCTTTGCTCGCCCCTCTCTCGCTCCCCACGTCCCTTCCTTTATCTGTAAGATAGTCTGTACGCGAAACGTTGAATCTTCGCCAATGACATTTTATTGTCTGAATTGGGTTGTGTACTTGCCTGTATACATTCGTTCTCTCCCTTCTCTGTCTCTCCCTTCTGTCTCTCCTGTCCTTTCTCTTCTCTCTCTCGCGTGGATTCTGTTTCCTGAGGCAGCTCATATGGATCGATGGATGTGTGGATGGAGGGGCGGTGCTTGCATGTGGGACTTGTCATCTAGGATCCGTTTTTGGTGCTGTTGCTTGTTGCCACTGTTTTGTTGTATTTGGCTGTTCCCTTCCTCTTTTTCTTTGCCTCTTTGCTCTTTGGCTGTGTGCAAGTGGGCCGATATGACACACGGGTGTTGGGGCAGCCGCCGCTCAACCTACATCCACGTGGGCGGCCTTGTACGCAAGAGGTTTTGAACAGGGGAACTTGTAAGTAAGGAGATAAAAAACATGAATTGATATCTTTTTTGTTTCTTTTTGTTTTTGTTTTCGCTCTTGCGCTCTGATAACTTTGTGACAATATATCTACAAGTATATCCGGCCTTGTACGTACGAGGTGATGAAGAGGCGGAGCTTTCCTTCCTTCCTTCTTTCCTTCTTTTGTTTTGTCTTTTTTCACCTTTGTGCTCCGATGCACGGTGTGACGATATATATATGTGACGACATATATATCTATATTGTCACAAAATATCAGAGCGCAATTGCGAAAAAAAGGAAAGGAAGAAGATAAAAAACTGAATTCATTTTTCCTGGTTTTCTTTCTTTTTTTCTTTTTTTTTCTTTTCTTTTTTTTGCATTTGCGCTCTGATATTCTTGTGACAATATATATATGTATATATTGTTCCCTTCCTCTTTTCTTCGCCTCTTTGCCTTTTGGCTGTGTGCAAGTGGGTCGATATGACACACGGGGGTGGGGGCAGCCGCCGCTCAACCTACATCAACGTGGGCGGCCTTGTACGTAAGAGGTTCTGAACAGGGGGAGTTGTAAGGAAGACGATTAAAAAACGAATTCATTTTTTCTTTTTTTCTTTTTTTCGCTTTTGCGCTCTGATATTCATGTGAAACAGTTTGTCACAGCCCCTCGTTTGTTGTCCTCTTCTCTCTCTCTGCCTACGGTTTACCGGGCAGTTCTGTTTGTGACGATATATATCGTCACAATATATACTTACACATGAATGTATATATCGTCAAACAGAGCTGCCGGTAAACCGTAGACAGAGAGGGAGAAGAGGACGACAAAGGAGGGGCTTTGAATGACTGTTTCGTGGGAGTTTCACCTACTCATCAGGAGGTTAGACAGACAGATAGGTAGATAGATAGATAGATAGATAGATAGATAGATAGATGGATAGATAGATAGATAGGTGGATAGATAGATAGGACGACAAAGGAGGGGCTTTGGCCGACTGTTTCGTGGGAGTTTCACCTACTCATCAGGAGGCTAGATAGATAGATAGATAGATAGATAGATAGATAGGACGACAAAGGAGGGGCTTTGACCGACTGTTTCGTGGGAGTTTCATCTACTCATCAGGAGGCTAGATAGATAGATGGATAGATAGGTAGGACGACAAAGGAGGGGCTTTGACCGACTGTTTCGTGAGAGTTTCACCTACTCATCAGGAGGCTAGAGAGAGAGAGAGAGAGAGAGAGAGAGAGAGAGAGAGAGAGAGAGAGAGAGAGAGAGAGAGAGAGAGAGAGAGAGAGAGAGAGAGAGAGAACATATCGCATTGTGATGCCCTTTTGTCTCCCATATCTCTGCTCGGCTACTCGATCTCTCACTTTTGTTTTTCATTTTTCCTCTGCTAATACATCTGTCTCCTCTCTGCATTCGATATCGGTCTTCTCTTCTACCCCTTGTTGCGCCCGCCCGCCCTTGATCTGTTGCACTGCCTTTCCTTCCTCCTCTTTCCTTTCCTACCTCTCTCTCTCCCTCCCTCTCCCTCCCTCTTCCTCCCTCTCTCTCTCCCTCTCTCCCTCTCTCCCTCTCTCCCTCTCTCCCTCCCTCTCCCTCTCTCCCTCCCTCTTTACCTCTTCCGTGTCTCCCTCTCTCTCTCCCGACTATGGAAACACATGGACTCGACCTCTTCCATAAGTGTCCCTTTCCTTTGGCACCCCGGTTCGTACCTTCTCCATCTCTGCATTTGGACGCTTTTTGGACCCGATACGTTCAAAATGTTGGAATGGCATCCGGCTTGTCGGTACTCTTCTCTACTACCTTGCTTTTTTTGGGTCTCTTTTTTTGATCTACCACTCCCTCGCTTTTCCCTTTGGGCCTCGCTCCACTGCGCAACACTCTACATGCATTTAGACGCTTTCTGGTCGACGCGTGTTTTGCACCAGTCCAGCATTTTGAACGTGTCGGGTCCAGAAAGCGTCCAAATGCATGGATGAACTGTTATGTAGTGGAGGGATGCCATGCCCTTCTTTCCCTTCTTTTCCCTCTGTCATCACAGCTCCTCGTCTGTTGTCCTCTTTTCCCTATCTGCACTGGGCAGTTCTCTATGGTGGTTCTGTCTATTTCGGCGAGCGTAGCCGTGCTTTCATGTGGGACCAGTCATCCGGGTTCTCTTTTATTGTCTTGACATCCTAGTTGGTTGCTTCCCGTTGTTCGGCCTGTGTGAGGGGGCGGTGCTTTCATGTGGGAATCGTCATCTGGGATGGTTTAGAAATGGGAATACCCACGTCTTCAGGAAGAACAAGGCCATCTGCTGTATATAGATATGTAATCTGGGATTTTTCTTTTTTTGCAGACAAGAGTTTTGTCCTGGGTGGTCTTGTCCTGTCGTTTGTCCTGTGAAGGAGGGGCGGTGCTTGCATGTGGGACTTGTCATCTAGGATCCGTTTTTGGTCCTGTTGCTTGTTGCCCCCTGTTTTGTTGTATTTGGCTGTTCCCTTCCTCTTTTCTTTGCCTCTTTGCCCTTTGGCTGTGTGCAAGTGGGTCGATATGAAACACCGGGGTGGGGGCAGCCGCCGCTCAACCTACATCCACGTCGGCGGCCTTGTACGCAAGAGGTCCTGAACAGGGGGACTTGTAAGAAAGAATATAAAAAAACGAATTATTTTTGTCTTGTTTTCTTTGTTTTTTTTTCCGCCTTTGTGCTCTGATATTCCTGTGATGATATATATGTGAGGACATATATATCGTCAAATATATGTATATATACATCCACGTGGCTGCGATCTATTTCACAGTTGGAATGTTTTTTTTTTATAAAAGATCACAACAAAATCTACGAGTACTCCAATTTTCAGGTTTTTTCATGCATTCTTCTGAGTGCGAAAACTCACTGAATTTGGAGTACTTTTTCAGTTGGCCCACACATGGCTGAGTGGCAAAAATGGAAAATGTGCCAAATTGGTGCGATGATTATTTCGCACTCTAAATGATTTTTTGAAAATGTTCTAATAATATATACCTGGAAAGAACACGACCTCATCTATGGATTCTCAAAATTTCAGATTTTTGTGCGCACAGAAAATCGCCAAAGTTGCATCTTGCAAAACCCCTGTTTCGTTGCTCCTGACCTCTCTGTTTTGAGAAGACGGGCCTCAACGTCTGGGCCTTAGGGCCTTTTTGCAGTTCACATGCCCTCACTTCTTTTTGGGGTCCCGCTTCTACCTGAGGACCGGTCCAACGCCCCCCACTTTTTTGGGGGGTCCACTTCCACCGGAGGACCGTTCCTTCCTTTTTCCAAAAGTTGGGGTCCACTTCCACCTGAGGACCGGTCCTTCCTTTTTCCAAAAGTCCCGGTTCCACCAGAGACATCTGTAGGTAGTCGGCAATTTGCCAAGGACTGGTCCCCCCATTTTTTTTGCCCTCTCAGAACCCACTTTGCGTCCTGGTCGCCTGCTGCCAAATATGT